AAAAAATGAGACGGTCTCGGAGTAATAATAATCAAACAAGATTGATGATGCTGTAAAAAGAAGTTGATAGAGCTACATGGTCCGCGTTGAATCTTTTTCGTTGAAAAATTATACTGTATAAATAAAATATTTTTGTTGTTGTATTTATTGTATAAATTATGAATTCCCTTAAAATAGGATATATATTTAAGAAAATTTCAGTGTAGCGGCAAAGGTTGTCAACTTACTAAAATGCAAATAGGAATCATAAATGTGGTCAATATCATGAAAAAAAAAAATAAAGAGATAGAGACTCAAATTAAAGGAAAAGGTCTGAAATATATCCGAACTTTGATCGAAATTGCTGTAACAATAAATAGTAATGTGTCCATGTGGGCACATATATACGTTTAAAATACACTTTTAAATAGTGCAAGGGGTAAAAAGTCCTCCATAAAGTTTGGTATCATAACAACAATTTCGACTAAAGTTGAAATATTTTTCAGACCCTTTTCCCCAAATTAAATTGATATTTCCCCAAGGAAGCCACAGAAGGCTTGCACTAATCGAAATTTTGCCATAGAGGAATTGGATTGTATGTGAAGAATAAGGAATAGAAAAGGTAATAAAAGGCGTACATACCAATAGATCAATTGGTATGTATTCTTGAATTTGAAATGAAGCGAGTAATGCTTCTTAGTATGGACAAAAAAGGCCACTTAGATCAGAATTACATTTATATAAATGTTCAAACGTAAAATATAATTGAATATGGAAGAGATTTATTGACAATAATAACAAAAAGAAGATAGATATAATTTCAATATAATAAGGATCTATTAGTGCAAGTTAACTGAATAACGTAATTGATGAGTGGGAATGTGACTTATAGGTGCACCTCCGGTGAAAAGTAAAAAGGCTAGTCAACCCCCTCCCCACAAAAACTTACTTTACGCATGTTTGAATTTTTGATATGTCATACTTACATTTTTTGAATCATCTCCTTAGAATTCCCAACTTTAGTACTATTGCTTGTATGCAAGGGCGTATCTAAAGGGAGGAGTGTTAGTTTACGTGCATCATAATTCTCTTCCTAAACCATGTATATCAATGTTATAGTTATATAGGTGCACCTAAGTTCAAAGAGTCTTATGGTACAATAGTTATTGAGTACATCTCTACGATTGAAGTTTAAAGTTCAATTTCTAAAAGGTTAGAATCCGTAAAATTTAAATCTTAGATTCACTCTTATTTAAGTATTTTCTTTTTCTATATAAATGTTTGAGATAAGTCATGAGTCCTTTCCACATAAAACAAATGATGAATAGTGCAAGAGTTGAGCAACATCCAATTAAATAGCACTTTGGAGGGTTTGATAGTGATTTTGTAATATGAGGGGACATATGGGAAAAGATGGAAAAGCATTATGTGAAGATGGATTGGATTGATAAACAGCATGAGCTATTGGGGTACACAAGCATTATAGAAAAGCACATTGACTTCTCATAAAGGTGATGTAAACAGAGAGCAAAAAATATTAGCTCTAAATGGCACAACTTTAGCCATGCAATACAGATGTCAAAGGTGTCCACATGCATATATAGTTACACTTGCTTCTATGTTTTTTTCTTTCTTTGTTTCGAGATATCGTTGAATTCATGCAGACCTAGCGAAAAATAGGCTATTATAAGAAGACAAGATTTATATAGGGTTTACTATATTTTAGACATGTTGCGACACATACATTTACTCGAGTGCCTCTCTCTCTCTCTCTCTATATATATATATATATATATATATATATTAGGCGTCTTTTCGTCCTATTAGAGATTTATATATATGCCTATAGAAAATATTAAGAAATTTTAGTACTAACTCTTTTTATTATGTGTAATATCATAGAGCTGATTCCAACTTGATTGGAATTCATGAGACATAATTAATATATTAATTATTGTAGTTGTTGTTGGTAGTATTGAAGAATGTTTTATCGAATACTTGCTACCTCCCAACGACATAATTCTTGGATAACTCTGCTATCAACTATTTACGTAAATGGAAAGAATTATATAGTAGTATTTTTAAAAATCTTTGTTGAGATTTAAACTACGATTTTCACCCGCTCCATTGATAACTATATTAGGTATTGCACTATTATATTGTTGGCTCCTCTATATATGTTGATGTAACATGTTAGATATGTAGTAAATAGGGTATCATATTAGTGCAACTTTGACTTGTTGCTTGTGGCATATAGGTGTTGCAACTCATCATCATTATGTATACCCCTAATGGGTGTGCACCATCACCCCCACCCCCACCCCTACCCCTGCCCCTACCCTCTTCAATCCTCACAATAAAAAGCCCTTCACTTCTCAACTTGATCTATTCTACTAATTTGGCTTATAGTAGAAATTTTGAATAAGCACACAGCCATGAGACCTACTTCCAAAGCATTTATTCTGTTTATTTTATTTCTCATCTTTGTGTCATCAGGTAATTTGTACTTACATATAAGGTTATTTAGATTTTTCTTTTCTTTTTTGTTGCTAAAAATGACAATTATCACCTTTAATTTTCTACTTGCATATAGGTTAAAATGTGTATGATATTGATTAATCTTGTTTTTCCTTTTGCTTTATTTATTAGGTACTGTTGAAGGCAGCTTGGGCAATGGCTTAAACCACATTCACAAATTTCAAAAGGTATTAGAGGGTACTTGTACGATAAAAGTCATTTTTCAAGAAAAATATTTTATACGAAGAAAATTAGTCCTTTTTTTTATATGAACTATACTGAACTCTTAACTTCATATCACTTGCTTTAACCAACATTTAGAAATTATCATCAATTTTAAATACTCAACAAGTTTCATCAAGACAATCTTTCAATTTGCTAATATTTAAAACTTTTATTTCTCACAGCTTGTGTTTTTTCTTTTTCATTTTAATATATGTCAATATAACAAGAAAATTATACATTGCTTAGATTCATATCCTTCTTAAACCTTTGTCCTAGCCTTGGTGGATAGAATTACCTGGTACCTGTTGCTGGTGGGAAGTGGCCAGGCAGTGGTGAAGCTAGGATTTTTAATAAGGGGGTTCAAAATCTGAAAAGCTAAACACACGAGCTAATTGAAGGGGGTTCAACATCTACTATATATACATAAAAATAATTTTAACCATGTATAAATAGTAATATTTTTCGGCGAAGGGGGTTCGGATGAACCCCCTAACACAAGGCTGGCTCTGCCCTTGTGGCCAGGGGCGTATACAAGAGGGGATTACCGGGTTCACGTGAACCCATGGTACCCTCCCGAAATCATATATAATAGTGTTATATTTTTAAAAAAATATTTCAATAAAGATGTGTGACTCCACTCTTGAAGTATCATATAATATCGTACGATGATGATTGGGTGCACCTCTCTAGGTGAGGTTAGAAATTTGAATCTTCTATCTATCTTGCTTTGGTTTTCTTTCTAAGATTTTGTAACTGGTGTGGAAAGATAAAAGTTAATTTTTGACCAATAATTTTAAAATTTTAATGATTTTCTGTAAAAAGAACCTAATCAGTCAAATTTATATCTTAGATCTACCTTTTCGTAATAATGCACCCATCATCAATAAGTCCTGGATACGCCTCAGGTGACAGGTATCACGTGGAATTAGTCCATGTGCACGAAATTTGGCTCGGACACCACAATCATAAAAGAAAATCCTTCTTTAACCTTTATATCGTTAGAGTGCATATATATATATGTATATAAACAAAATCTTAGGTCAATCATTTACAACTCAAGTAATTAAATGTCATTTGACTAATTATAATTAAACTTTTGTTGCAAAATTTGATCAGAGGATGAGAGAAATACCAAGAAAGTTGATGGTGGTGGATGCAGTGTTAGATTATGACTATGCAGGACCTAATCCCAGGCATGATCCCACTAGAAAGAGAGGTGGCAATCACCCTTGAAGAAACTTTGCATACTGGGGTTTGAAAGAATCAGTAGTTTTGGTTCAAATTTTATATTTATATGTTAAGAAATCACGTAAAATATGTATAAATAATTTGTCAAAAACTCAGTAAGCTGCGTTTTCTAGAATCCAGAGCCCATAATTTCAATATCTTTATTCCTCCTATGAGTGTGTAGAGATTTTGTTTACAGTATTGTTGCCTCAGGGCATAATAAGAATTGCAAGTCTCTTGGTGAGATGTTGCTTGAGTTTTGGCTTGTGCCTCTCTGTTATGTAAGCTAGATAGTATTATATGTTAGCAATATTATGTTGTTTGAGTTTTGAAATAGTGAAATAAAGAAAGTTGATTAGAATTGTTTGTACATTTTTTACATTTTCGAAGGAGGAGTCTTGGTGCAACGGTAAAGTTGTTTCTGTATAACCTACTCATCATGGGTTTGTGTAATTGAAACCGCCAAAGGATTTATTGGTGGACCTTTTCATAGGTGTAGCGTAATTATTAGTAAAGTAATTGGTTAAATAATTGATATTTCACTTATAATTACAATTCTTTTGCCTAAATGGAACAAATCTAGCATACAAATTCTAGAGTTATTTCAATAGGTTCAGAAATCACATGTATTTTTTAAGTTGCATACATATTTACACAAGAAGAAAACTTTTTTTTACTATTGATAACTTTTAAAACCATAATATGATGATGTACAAGGTAAATACAAGTGATTCTCGAAAAAAAGTTAAATTACATGTAATTCAAACCAACCACTTTTGCCTCCATAGATGAATGGCTGGAGTTATGTAGCGTCAGGGGTTTAATTGGATCCTCTTTGTTAGGAAATTATGATGTATAAATAGGGTAAAAGTACAATATTTTTTTGTTATATTATATGTAAAGCATTAAAATGAGAATTATCATTATAAGGGTGTCATATTTTCTATACAAATATATATATTTGGTGGCCAAGATCATTTGAATTATATATTAAAGTTGTCATCACAGACCCTTAGTTAGTTCACTATTCATTCCACATTTCAACAGTTAGATTTGGAATTTTCCATATTTTTAGAATATACTATCTAAAATGCTACATAACTTAATTACCTTGACAAGCAAATGTACAAGGTATAATTGAAGCTTTATGTTCCTTTTCATACAAAAATACTATATACAATTAACTAATATTACTATCAAACTTCTAAGGGAAAATCATTGTTGATAGCCATATTCCAATTGACACAAAACTGATTGTCACTAAAGCTTGTCCCAGTTCTAACACAACATTCTGTTTCTTTACTGCTAAATTTCGCCAATCAGTCCTCCTGTCGATATATCGAAACAAATATAAAGTAAAAATATAATCTGATATATAGTGCTAAATTGTTAGGGGAAAAAGTATATAATAGAAAAATCTTGTGGATATGTAGACCACAATATAAGTACTAAAAGAATGTCAAACTTTGGACAAAAATGCAAGAAAAAAAGAAGCTCAGCCACTACAACTTAATGACCTTTTCTAATGGTGTGTAATCACATTATGTCTTCATCAAAAACTTTATTGTATTGACTTTCTTGTAGTTGATAATGATGATCAAAAGGAATTTCACAGCTAAATAAGTTTGACTATATATCAAGAGGTTCATCTGGTCTCTTTTCGTTGGGAAATTACACTATATATATAAAGGTCATAATTATTTTTCATGTATCTGATATAGATGTTGAATCCCTTTGGTTTTTTCGTGTTTTTACTTCTTTATACTTTGAACTCCGTTGGTGAAAATCCTAGTCCAGCTACCTTTACTCAGAGGGTACAAAGAACTATCTAGCCTTAAAAGAAACTATTATTTTCATTCTCAAGTCACCTACCAACACCTTAAGTTTCTGAAATTATCAGTAAAAGTACATTGGTTGCAAAAGGTCAAGTGCATACCCCAAATCAGCAATGACAATGCTGACATTATCTTGTGTCCGTCGATCCTGAAATGTAAGATCAAAGAGCTAAGTATATACACTTGTGTGTGCGTTTGGAGATTGTTAAGTACAGAATGCAGAAATTTTTCTTACCAAGGCTAACCGTGCAAGAGCTTCACAAGCTATCTGTTAGGGGGAAAAAAAAGAGACAAGTTATATATGGTACTACAACATTGCACCCGAACCAATTAGGCAGATGATATTTCTTACCTGAACATCACCATGCTCTCGAAGCTGGTTCCTAACGAAATCTACTATTTCATCACTGAAAAAGTAAGACGAAAAACTCTAATGAGATTATGATCTTTAAAAGATTCAATTGGATGTAGTGTCTAATAATCCTGTTTTTCCAGACCTTTTCATGTAATCCCATAATCCATCAGATGCTAATAGTACAAATTCGGTATCTGATCCAAGATTCACCTGTAAAACATCTGGAGATGCTATAACCAAGTCTCCCCTGAACTGAATCCTAGAAAAATAAACAGAAACAAAGCTTTTACTTGCAAGAAGTCATAATGATGCTGAGAATAGACAGCTTGTACTTCTCGGTGATTCATGAGCTAATGCAGCATTATCATCAGTATGATTTGCAGCTCAAGCAAGAAATGGAAATTACCGAGAAATGAACTTTTCAGACCATCTGCGTTCTTTAACCCCTTTCTCCAACATCCTAGCAAGCAATGATCAGAAAGAACGCATTATTTTATTTTTCCAGGGCAACCAAGAAATGCAATGCTTCCTATCAGTTTAACAGAAAATCATAATGAACGTACTCTTTCTTCTTCGTCTTAAATCTCATATCACCAAAAGCACGGGATACTGAAATATCATTACAAATTCTTCCATTGACAATCTGCAGACATAATATACATTTAGTGTCAACACGCACGCTGAATAATGTGCATCCTGAAAGCAACAGTACTGGACTCCTATCTTGCTCTTTCTCATAAACTCCTCCCGTTTCAATTTGTTTGCCTTACTTTCCTTTTTAGTACGTTTCTAAAAGAATGTTTCTTTCCTTTGCTGACAACTCATTAATTTCAACTTTCCACATGTTATGTTTAAGACCACGAGATTAATATTTTGGTAAATTCTACATATCTTTAGTTTAATACCACAAGATTCAAAAGTCTTCTTTATTTTCTCAAACTCCGATTATTTTGGAAAACCATTTACTTGTTAGTTTTTGACCAGTATTTCAAGAAAGAATGCTGAATACAAGTAGATGAATAAAACAATCGACTATTCTAGGGGATGCTGGGAGGGGTCTAAGTGTAGGAAACACACCCATCCACCTGCTTCATTTATTCTTCTGATTTCTTGGAGAGAAACCTTGTTGTTTCCATAGGGCCTGTGTGAATTGGTTAGTATCTCTGCTTTTCCAGATCGGGACAACACCTGCATTAACATTCAGGGATTCTGATGGTTAAGAAAACACCTATCCATCTCGAAGAACATATCAACAATAAGCATTTCATTGTCAGCAGGAAATGAATGCTCATTTACCACAGATGAATCTCCAACATGTGCGATGATCAGTGTATCATTCCCAACAAATAGAGCAGTAGCTGTCGCACCAGATTCATCTTCCTTCTCGCTACTCTCAAGCCTTTTCCAAAAAGAAACAGCATCTAAACCTCCATACAGAATACACTATGAAACTACATGGATTCTTTTTTTTTTTCATTTACATGCTGCAGTAGCTTACCGGTTCAAGAGTTTTCTATCCGCATTTTCAAAAGCTTCTTGTAGTGCCTTCCTGATTGCATTTAGGTCCTTTCTGTTCAATAGCAGCCCACCTTGTAATGCTGTAACACATTCTTTATACAGCTCTTCCCTATTAATAGTACATCCGTTATCCAACAATGCAGAACTTCCAAATTAAATCTTTCTTTAAGACGCACAGAAACTACATAAATCTCTTTATCTAGTAAAAGACACTCTAAAAAAAAGGTTACTTTGTAGGTTATGTTGAATCATATAATCCTTCATATAAAAGAATCACTTACTTAATCATATCTTTAACACACACCCCTCATGTGCGGGTCTGATTCTTTCTTTATCTGTCAGCTTCGATATCACACTGAATTGTGTGATCATCTCAATTAAAAAGGCCTAAAGCTCAAGACTTTTAGACGAGAGTACAGACACACAATTCAACAGCTCAACAACGAAAGGGCCAACTACATATGCGACAATTATTGATTTTTTTGACATACCTAAGGAACTTGACAGAGGAGAAGCCAGCATGGCCATCAAAAACAGCAGCATAAGTGAAGCCATCAAGATCATCCGATTGAACGATGACAGCATCATCTTCCATCTCTTCACGCAGACCTTGGACCATAGTTGAACCCCATCTGATGCCAGAAACACTGGTAAAAGGAGCTGGCGCGTCGATTGCAATTGCAGAGCAGCATCTTCCTCTGCCCTCTCCACCTCCACCTCCACCTCCTCCAAGAGGCTTCTGTATTATGCTCTTTTTGGCAGTAACTTTGTAACTGCAAATTTTGTTTAAAAGAACCTTTTGCAAGTGGGGACTAGATAAGGCCATTGATGAAATATGGGGGAGTCTTGGTTCTCACCAGACTGAAGTTAGTGTAAGATCGTCCCCCAGTAAGCAGAAATTTGCTTGGTTAAGGTTAACCAAGGATAAGAAGACTTGGAGGGCAGAATCCATAACTGATTTTTAACCAATTATTGACCACTTGTTGATTGCCAGTTGGGTACTTTTGTTGAGTATGGGCCAGAGAATTTGGGCTGTAAACCTTCTTAAGAAAAGCCCGTGGAACTTTCAGAAGCTATATGCATCAAGTAGTGTCCCTCTATGATTGAGTAATTGTGCCACGACATTATTTAAAGGTTAAGTGATTAAAAAAGTGGCACTTTTGTTTAAGTATACAAAATATGCTTGACACAATGATCAACTAATAATCTGTCTTAAAAAAGGAAATTAGCTAGTATGGAAATGAAAATGTATCTGAAAACAGAATGAAAAATGTTTGTAAAATACTGTACTACTTTTTTGCCATGAATAATTAACCACTAATTAAATACAGAAACAGACCCTCTTCTACCTTTAAAAAGAGAGTTTTTTACCTCTCATCTTTTGGCATTAAATCCCTCAGGTGAAAGTGTATATACTAGAGAAGTGCTATATGAATACAGAAAGTATAGCTAACTAATGATCTACAGTAGTTCGTCTTTCAAATATCCAGGGCCTGGCTTGAAGGGGTCAGAGTCCATGTATGCTTCTGCACGATAAACTCCAGCATCATTCATACGATTACTAAGCACGTGAAGGATAGCTTTCTTTGCACCATATTCATCTCGGTTGTTCTCAACATACTGTTTGGCCTCTGCTGCAATCTCATTGACAAAATCAAACCGGTTGTCCTCGTTCAGTAATAATCTATGAATGTCCATTGTCAATAGTTTACCCCCATCCCTTATCTTCCTCACTTGCTCCTCAAGGAATGGAATCCTTTCCATTTTGGCATCTAATGTCTCATCTTGTTTCGTCTGAAACCAAAATTAGAACAAGTAAATATACTGTCAAGCCAAACAAGCAGGCTATAAGTATAATGGATAACAAATTTTCAGAATGATTCAAAACAAACATTAACGATAAAGACTAGATTCTTTTCTCGCCCTTCCACCATCATATTTGAAAGAGAAATAAGAAAGGCTAGATGTTTTTAAATCCTAATCTATGAAGGTACAAAGTTTTACAAATGACAAGTCAACCACTGTGGAATTATTTCCACAGAATAATCAGTATACCCCTCTCCGTAAGTATGCAATCTAATCACAATCGTGTTAACCATTATCAAGGAGTAGTACTGTTGTGTTTATCTTATGGGGGCTTGGAAGAAGTTAATGTTTTGCCTAGAGAATACCAGCTAAGAAAAGCTACATAACACACTTGCACATAAAAGCTTAGAGATGTTGGAACTAAAGATTCCATCCTCAATCCTTACAAAGATTGAAGTCCACCAACCAAGAGTACACATAGAGATAAAGCCCTGAGTAAGGGGTCCATCACTAGTCACTGACTGGAAAAACGCATAACAAATTCCATGCTCATGTAGTACTTTGAATTGCTGAGAGTTCATCTATTACTTAAAGAAAATTCAAAAGTTATAACATACGGGTTATCTCGAGTTCCATAATTTTGATTATACTGAATACTGATTATTTTGAAGTCAAAACAGTCAAAGTAATTATTTAACTTAATATATATAGTAAGCTAGCTGTTAGCTTTTAGAGTTAGTTTCATGGATTAGTAATAACTCAGTGTTATCACTACAAAGTTTAGATACACAGGTATGTTACTCAGGTTTTCAAACATAAGAAAATATCTATTTCTCCATAACTTTCTTTGAGCTAACCCCTTTTTTCATCAACTCAAATCCTCTATTCTAGAACTATAAAGATGTTTGATTAGGCAATAAACCCAACTGTTCACCATCAAAGCATGCCTTCAAGGTTAAATACACTCTATTCCTAGTCAGACCATAGAAGATCACCAAATGTTAGTGGATACTCTAGAGATGATTCACTATATGAAGTGAGAAAAACCAAGAGATGAAGGCTAATTTGCGGAGGAAAGAAAATATAAAAAATCCCCAAAGTTGTGCAATAAAGCTTGATGGATAAAAGGAAAATTTTAGCAAAGGCTGAAACAACTACAAGTTTGTCTCAAGAACCTAATCTTGACAAATATGGGTAAAAAAGTTTGGGGACGTTTGGTTTATAATGCAAGAATCCTTTATGAAGTGATCAATAATGAAATAATTGTTATGCAGTGATTATTAGTAATGAAAAGATTGTCACAAATGAGTTACTTAGTCTAAAAGGGCAGTTTATCTTTAAATAGTTTAATCTCTACATTGCTACTACATGTGCTATTATTTCTATCAAGCATAAAATAATATTAAATTCATGCATAACTTAATTCAGGTATTATTTAGTACTGCCAACCAAATGTTGCATTTTATTTATGCGGCGATAATTTTTTCCGTATAGGGCTGACCATACACTATATTATCCGATGGACCGATGCAAGAATTATGCTGAGATCAATTGTTCCTATACCATCAGCCAAAGGACCCCTTAAAAATATCATTATTCCATGAACAACCAGGAAATAACAAATAAAACTGGAATGACATAAAGAAGATTAGCATGCCTATGGGCATGGATGACATGCACAAATCAAGAAATAACAAATAAAATCTTAAACTATGGGGAATATGCTAGCTTTCACTCTTTACTAAGGGGCTTCATATGAAAACCTAATAGCAGGTAAAATCGTGAGACAGAACCATCTACCAAGGAATGACTTGTACTTTTAATTCAGATTACTGCTCAAAAATGATATACAGATGGTAAAACATTTTGTCTTTGCAGCAACAACAAAACCAGAATATCGGAGTATGGACATGATCAACTGTAAAAAGAACCCAGTCAGAACTTAGCCGCATACATACAAAGAAATCCCTATTAAATCAGAAACCTTACCATGACATCTAGAGCCACAGATACTTGGGATATAGTGTTCAGCCTAAATCATTTGGACATACAACTAAGTCAGGATAACAGTACACTCTCCAAACTTGGTATTATCTACTTGCAGGGTCCAAACAAGATCAACACGTAAATGCAATACAGTGAAATCATCATTTCCCCTGCCTTCAATTTCTAGTGGGTCAGGTTTTGCATTAGCATCCGGAGAGAAGTGATGTACTAACAGAAAGCTTGAACCCCTGATGTGGGAGATCTGTTAGGTTTCAATATCTATCACTTTGCCTACAGTGGTTTGTAGTTAATGAATACATAAAGCCCAAGCAAAAAGGAAAGATGGCATCAAATGTGGATATCATCCCTCTTCTAAAGACGATACAGTCAAGCTCAAGTAACAATTCTAAGAATTCAAAAACTAATTAACCAAGAAACTTATCGTGCAAATCAAGGCACCCAAAATGACCAAAAAAATATATAAATAAGTCCAACCTTTAAAACAAAACAGCAAGCAAAAATGAAGAAAAGTATTATCAGCCTACAATAATAGATCAAGCATAGTCTAATATGTCTACCACAAATATGGTTTTCACTAGCGTTCTACTAAATACGCTAACTGTGTAAAACGTATTTATGCAATGTAATCACTTAAAAGCTAACTACAAGCAATTGTTTATGCCTATGACTCTATAGTAAGCATGACTTGATGTAAGTAACCTGCCAAAATCAGTGAACTGACTACAAAAATCGACTGTGCATATAGCTTAAATCCTTTCAACTATAGCCTATACAAGGCAAGCACAGTACTTACGAAACGATCCTACTCTTATATCTAATTCCGGTAATTTCAATGGTGCACAGCGGAAAATAACATTAAAAACAAACAGAATGAAACGAGCAGGAAAACACAAGAATTAAAATTCCTCAGCTCACCAATTTTCTTCGCCTCCATATTCGCCTTTCTCCACGGCCTTCATTTTTAGAATTCGACGCACTCTGTACACCAAACTAAAACAAAAGTTACAAACACTTGTGCAAAAAAAAAAAATTACAACTGAAAATAGACTAGCGACGGCAACGAAGAACTATCACCTGCGCACGAATGGAGAAGTTCACGCGTTTAGTATTTTCAACTGCTGCAATTCTCTGCATTGGAGACAAATTATCATTCTCCGGATTCACAAATTAAGAACGGAGACTCATACTGGAAATCGGCGAAGATTCCGGCGAATATAAAACAGAGTAAAAATAGAAAGAGGAGCTTACGGGGAAAGTTTGTAGTGTTGAAAAGCTACTGAAAGTCAGGGTTGATGCTGCCATTGTTTTTCGCCTTTCGATTGAGCTCTTCTCCCTCTGATGAAAGGGGATAACGCAAATGATATCCTACTGTTGTTTTTTCAACTTTGCAAGTTAATTTATTGGCAGTTAGACCCCTGATGTTTGAAAATGTTCCACTTATGCCTTGGTTATTCATAGAGTGATCATTTGTTTCTTGATTTTCGGAATTTTAGAGCAGTTTCGCAAATATCACATCCTGCAAGCCCTCTTTTTGCAATACTCCCTCCTCCTCAATTTTAGCAATAACTTAAAAAAAAAAAAACATGAAGTCACCACTAAAATTGTCTCGAATTTTAAAAAAGACATCTTAATTTTGCGGATATTCTATTACCCCATTGAACAACTTCAAAATAGCATGCACACCCCATTTTTCACCCAATTCCACTTGTACAAAAATATTTGTAAGTCATGCACTAATAGTCACTTGCCACGTATTAAAAGTAATTTTTAATTATTTTTATTTGATTTCTTTGGTTTTTTTTTCATTTATTCTTTTTCTCTTTCTTCTTCACCTCAATTTCTATTCCATCTTTTTTTTTTCTTTTTTTGTCTTCTTCTATTCCATTCCCTTCATCCTTGGGAAATTTTATTTCGTGTTCTTTGTTGGTGTCTTGCAATGGACTTTTCTTTACGCTTTGTGTCCCTTTAGCAACCAACATTCACTTCTGCCTACTTACTATCACCAATTAATTTATTTATGAAAATAAATATCATCAAATAATCAAAATTTAAATATTCAAAATATCATCAAGTCAAAATTTGAAATTTAAATCACCACTTTCTCCAACTCCTTACTCCCAAATT